CTTGTATGGTTTAATAGCATTCTAGGCATTCCACATTTTATTGACTTGTTCTTCTGTTGGTTAGTTTCTGCTCCATTGGTCTATTTGTCTACTTGGATACCAATACCATAGAAGTTTAGATTACTATAATGTTGTAGTATTATATATACATACAAGTATAAATATATTAATGTATTCTAAGTTGCATTTATTTATTTGAAAGTGTGACAGACACCTTCCATCTGCTGCTTTACTCTGAATGTCTGCACCTGCTACGTTGGGCCAAACCAAAGCAAGGAGCCAAGAAACCCATGTGGGTCTCCCACATGAGTGGTAGGAATCCCAGCATCTTGGGCATCATTTGCTGGTTCCCAGATGTGTTCGCATAAACCTGGATTGAAAGTTGAGATAGGATTCAATCCCAGGCGCTCAAATGTGAACTGTGGGCATCTTGAGAAACAGCTACATCCTCTGGGTCAGAGCTCTTAGCCCAGGTAGCATGTTTGAAAGCCAAGGTGGTGATGCTTTCATCTATTTTTTCTCAAGTTTGCTTTGGGAGTTTGGGGTCTTCTCTAGTTCTATGCAGACTTCTGGGTTGTTTCACTGTAACAGGAATAATTATATTGGTTTTTATAGGGATTGTGTGGAATCCATGGATCATTTTGGGTGATAGGGACATTTTCAACAATATTCTTCCAATCTGTTTCTCAGTTTCTTTCATCTGTTTGTAGTTTATGCTAATGCAGATAATATTACTGTTTGATCTAATTTGCTTTTGTATCCTATGTTTTTACTGAGTTCATTTACTGGTCTCGAAAATGTTTTGGTCAATTTTTAAAGGTTTTCTTCACATAAGCTCATGTTCACAAACATTACAATTTAACTTCTTTTCCTGTTCGAATACCTTCCCTCTAACCCCCCACTGCCCCATTCTTGTCTCATTCCTTGGGTTAGGTGTTCTTGTGCTAGGTTAGACTGTCTCTGTCCTGCCACGATGGACTTGGTGCATGGAGCCAATAATAACAACGCACTGGACTACTGACTGGTGGTCAATAGCTGAAGTTTATTAACAGCACCAGACTTTTAAAGGCAGGTTGTCACATAAGGCCTCCAGGGAGGAGGGGCTTGATCCATTTACATCTCAACAGCAAGGTACAGTTTCCCCAAAACACTGCTAGTTCCTCTAGCAGGTTCTTTATCTAAAACCTGTGAACCAGGGTGTATACTGCTCATACATTTCCTTAATTGTTCCTGGCACCTTCAGGGGAGATTCAGCTGGCTATTGTCTCCCACAATAGCAAAGATTCTGAATCTCCTTCTACATTGGTCTAATATGTTTTTTGTTTTAAAGATTTATTTATTTATTATTGGAAAGGCAGATAGAGGAGGAGAGACAGATCTGTCTACTGGTTCACTCTATAAATGGCTGCAACAGCTGGAGCTGAGCTGATCTGGAGCCAGGAGCTTCTTCCAGGTCTCCCACACAGGTGCAGGATCCTAAGGCTTTGAGTCATCCTTGACTGCTTTCCCAGGCCACGCACAGGGAGCTGGATGGGAAGTGGAGCAGCCGGGATTAGAACCAGAACCCATATGGGATCCTGGCACATGCAGAGTGAGGATTTAACTATAGAGCCAATGTGTCACACTCAGGTTGGACAAAATTTGGGTGTGGGCATCTCTGTCTTGTTCTACATCTTAGAGGAAAAGCTTTCATCTTTTTCCATTGAACATGGTGTTGGATATAAATTGTCTTTGTTGGGAGGGTTTTTGCTACTGATTCATTTGCCATGTTTGTTTCAATATACAACTATTGTTATTTTGTATTCTGTTTTATGTCAAGTCTTCAAAAATAAGAGTGTATTTTGTTCTTAGTAATTCTCAAATCAGATTGGCCACATTTCACATATTCAGTAGACACCTGCAGCTGGTGGTCGACCCATTGGACATTTTGGGTTAGATAGATGAAGTATCTTAGAAGTGAGCTGCTTATTTTTGGTCTCAATGCAAAGGAACTCAAATTTCTTTTGATGTTCTTGTACATTATACATTGTTATTCAGGTTCCCTAAAAGATTTGATGAGCCTGTTCCCAAAGGTTTGTCTTCTCAACAGAGCTCAGGATTCCTAGGCTTCCAGTTGATTTAGAAATTATGTTAGTACTTACTTATCAGATTTATCATATAGAAATCTTTTAATGCATCATTTTTTTGGAGTATACATACAAGAATCACTGAATATCCATTTGTTTCAGAAGTCCTTTCTTTCTGTTAAAAGAAACACATTTGAGCTAATGAACTGAATTTACTGGTCTCTTTTATCCCACAAAGCACCTTAAAATCTTGTTTTCGCAGGAATTTCAGCACTATACATATCTTTTCTGATAGATTCTTGGAGTCTACATAATTAACCTCTTTCCACTGAGCCTGAGGGATTCATATCTGTGCGACCATTAGCTTCTGTAAAACTTTTTTACACTTTGGTCGTGTCTATTTGCCAGAACTTAAGACACTAAGCATAGGTCAATGTAACACTGAATTGACAGCAGTGGCATGTGGTACTGATACAGATGACTGAAGTAAGGTCTGGAAATCCATGAGCATTGTATTTGTGTTGCATAAATCTGTTAGCCAGAAATGTAGCACAAAATGTAGATTTATTTTGAGTATTTGTATCTAAAATCCATTATAAATGTATGTATGTGAATGTGCAGATGAGTATGTACATAAAGAAAACAACCATGTGTCTTTACTTGGACGTTTTGAAGTTTTTGGTGATTAGAAACATTTCAGGTGATGAATCTTGTCAAACAGCTTACCGAGAAGTTCAACAAATGCTGAAAGAATGTTAATTGTGAATAACAGCTGCTTTTGTTGCAATGAATGACGCTGACTTGCAAAGAACCCTTAGTGACATCTTGGTCACTTAGATGAGTTTTTGCCTTTAATATGAAATGAGTTTTTGTCTGTTAATAACCAAATGAGTTGGTATCTCCAAGGGAATGGAACACGTATGCATTTCATAATGACATGAGTAGTCAGTCAGTTTTTGGGATATCCTAAACCTCCTTTACTGAGTTAATACAGAATTTGGGGGTTAATCTTGCTACCCACTGGATGTCACTGTTGCTGCACCAAAAATGTCAAGTAGTCAAGCTTTCTTGAACTCCCCCAAAAGCACACAGGAAGCTTCACATAGGAGGGTTGGTGAAGATGCTGGGAAATGAGATAGAGAAGACTCAGTTTTCAGATTAGCAAAATGTTAATCTGGGTTATTCTTGATTCTTACCACAAGGACTGTTACTTTAATGTTGAAACTAGAGACTTATGAAATGACCCAGAGCTGTCTTTGATAGCACTGTGATGTTTTCATCATTTTGAAGCAGGACAGATGTTTTTACATCTGTTTCTCCTTGTCCCAATGAGAGTTGAAAGGATTCTTGCTTGATTGAGTCCTCTTAGATAAGGAATATGGAAATTATACTTTTTAACCTTGGTGTGACTAGACTGCTAAGTAACAAATGGAAGAAAATATATTTCTTGTGATGACTTGTTTGTGAAAGTTTTGCATTTTGGTGATAATGAATTACTCTAAAGATCTCAAATCTCAAAGAACTAAGACTATATCTTTTGTTATTTATTCTCTTTTGGCCACATCTACTCAGTTCAAGTGACATTTCATTATATATGAAAGATATGCCAACGCTTTAAAATCACAAGAACTCTGGTCCTTAAAGTCCTATTTTGAAAAGAATAGGACAGTATAAAGGTGTGAGAAATGACTTGGAATTGACATGTAAGAATTGGAAATACACATATTTACTTTAATGAGATAGTGTTTCCTGTCTAGTGCTGGCAGTATTTAGCTTTCTAGCAATACTTTTATTGGATCTGGGGAGAATATCATATTCCCTGGTAAGCTTCTTGAAATCATGCTGATTTTTTTCCTCCTGTTCCTTTCAGCATCTTTAGTGTCCAGCGTGCTGTCAGTTGTACAATAAGCATTCAGTAATGTGGGTTGGAATGGATTTGGTGGTGATCTGAATGAGTTACTGTGAAGATGAATTAGTAGCTGTCTCTGGAAGCTGTAGGGAGCTGATGGTCTAGATGTAGAGAAGGCATACTGACAATAAATGGAAGAATCCTTTTATGGTATTTCTGCTCATAAGAGGGCTTTGATATTTACTTTATTAGTTTATGGCACTTGACTGTGTGTGAGGGTCATGCAGTGTTAGAATTTAAGAGAGGCACTATGTTTAAAAGTTAATCTATGGTGAAAACATCAGATTCATCTATTTTAAAATATGTAGAATGATGTTAAATGGTATCTTCATTTATGTAGGTTTCTTAATTATCTTTGTGTGATTGCTTGAAATTGTAAGGGAGGAGATGACTCGCTGAGGATTTTGATACTCAAAAGGAGGTCTGCAGACAGCTTCACTACCATCACCTGCAGCTTGCAAGAAATGCAGAATCTAAAGGCCATGTCTTGGCATGGCTGAACTAAAATCAATTTTGTTATAAGACCCTTGGTGGTTCCTGCAAATATGGAAGTTTGAAAAGAACTGATTTAGGGTGTCTGTTACATTAACAGTAGGTCAAGTACCTGTGGCGGTCTTTACTTAGAACAGAATTTTATTGTCAATATACTAATAGCATACAGTCTTGTTTACTAGAGAATGATTAATGAATGGGGACAGTATAAATGTGTGAGCAGAATTTTCCTGAAGCAATTTGGGAAAGGCCTGTCAGCACATGGAGGGAGGCATTGTGAACTGGCCCAGAAAGGGCAGAAAGTAGACCAGTGCCACCTGATGCCTGCACCCTCCAGCTGCATGATTTCCATTTGGGGGCTCTTCTGTTGCTTCAAGATCAGATGAACCTTGATTTTTTTCCTTCCCACCGCTGCCCCGCCCCCCCAAACCCTAGGGCAGTGATAGTTTGGATTTTGCTTCCTTGCCAGATGCTTCTTTGGGAAAAGAGATTGCTCACTTTATCTAATATTTTCATCTTGCCTGCTCCCACAGATCACTTTTGTGAAGAGACAACTGAGGACCTGTGGATCCTGCAAAACCACGGCTGGACATGGTGCCTGTGAGTACTGGTGCACCGATGGGCTGGGATGTGCTTAATTCATGATTGCACACACATTACAGATTTGTTTATTATTAATGACAGGCAGACGTTTCCTTTAGCTTTGGAACTGCATAAAGTAATAACCTTACCATAAGGGAGACAGGAATTGGGAGATAATAAATATTTATCACCAAATCTCTCACTTTCCTAGCAACCACAAATGGAAGAGGAAATGAGTGTTTAATTTTTTGGAGAGCTGGTGCCAGGAAAACAAAAGCTTAAAAAATGTCATTAATCAAGCAGATTGATTGCTGTGGGTTCTAGAAATCTCAATATGGGTTTTAATCGAGGGAGATGCAGTGACTGAGCACAGTTGAGACACTTTTTGAGATTTGCAATCTTGGCCAGATGCCACTTGCAAAAATGACTCTCATCTATCAGGAGTATTAAATAATACAATCTGGTGGCTCTGTACACAGAACAGCATTATTTTGTTTGCTTTACTGGGCAAAATACACAGTATAGCAACAAAAACCAAGGAAGTGTGTTGTCTCCCAGAGCAACTTGAGTTAATTTCAGGCAATTTACTAATATATTGGAATTGTATTTTGAAGATTATGTATAAATAGAGATGTGTTGTATACATAATTTCTGTACTTTTTATCATATGGGGTGCAGAGCTGGAAGGGAGTCCAAGATCTTCAAGCTGTTGGAAGAGTGACTTAGCATCTGTAGGGCCAAGAATCAATTTTCTCAGTTTGGACATTATCCTATGCTAAAGAGGAAAACACAGAAGTAATATGGGCATTGTCTCCCATCACTACAACCAGCCACCCCCGTGACTTTGAACAAATTGGTTTGTACCTCCAGATTCCAGTCTACTCTTGATGACTGAGAGGATTGAAACTGATGTTTCCTAAGGTCCTACATCATATTATAATTCCAACTCCACAACTCTATTGGTGGTCTTTGTGTTTTCATCTGAAGCCTTATGCTTCAATACCTGTGTGATTTCAGGGTCAAAGACATCACACATTTATTTTTGGTTGTGAGTTTGCTCATTGCTAGCTTTTTAAAAAAATTCAGCTGAACTGTATTTTTAGAATTTCACATTTATTGGTAAGCCATTAAGTAACCATGATTTGACATCTGTCCTAATGGACACATCATATCTTCAGTTAGGACAAGGCAACACAGCTAGTAATGGCATCCCAGTGAATTTTCTTTGACTGTTGGGTGGTTTTTGTGTGATTCATGGTTTGGGTCTGGGTCATCACGACTTAGGAAAGTGTTCTGTGACTTTGTAAAGGAGGATACACAGAAAAGATTGATGGACAGATTTGGAATAGAACAGTCTACTAATTTTAGCCATCTGGTTTTTCATTTGTGTTGTCTACTGTGTTACCTAGTTGTTCATGTGGGACTGTCTTCTTATTTGTCCCAGTGTGTCCAAGACAAGGGAATGTTTTGTATACTAAATTACTAATTCTCAGGACACTGCATTAAATAATCATCTGGCCAGATTTCATGTCTTAACTGAACTCTAAACAGAGCAGACAGTGCTTTGCTCATTTTTCCAATTTTGTTCCTGGCCACTATGATGTTTTTATTGCCCTGGCAAACTAATACATCTCTGAAAATGTCTATGTTATAGCTAGGGAGTAACTAATTCCCCATTTTATCATATCCAATATGTTGTAGAAATGTCAGGATGGCTGTCACTATCACCATTTCACTTTTAGAATTTATATTCAGCTTTGTTACACTATTAAGATACGATTGCCTTTACTGAAAACGGGGCCTGTGTTTAGCGATAAGGACTATCTACCTCTGTAGATTAGTGTGAATGGAGCTAGAGTTTTAATCCTTTTTTTTTAAAAAGGTGCATATTGAAATATCCAAAATATTCTTAAATTTAGTATCATGTAAGATAACTAATCATGTTATTGGTGATTATTATTGGCCTGAAATATACATCTTTAATAGTACATTTTCACCGGTGATAATTTTAAATGAATGTATTCTTCAGCATTCATTCAAATATCTGTGCAATTCTGGGCCAGTATTCTGTGCAGCGCTTGCATTTTCAAGATTCATTTTCTAATCAGTGAAATCATTTACCCTTCTCAGATGCTAGGCCAGGAGTAATGGAGCTGAGAGTCATTAGCTGTGATACGCTGCCGTTTCATCTTTCTGGGAAAGGCAGGAAAAAGAACACCTTAGCATCATCTTTCTTCATCCAAAGAGGAAACAGACACTAATCAACATGCAATTCCACCCCTAAATTTAGCGACTCAATTGTCCACAGTGTCACAGTGCTGTCTGTCACATGGGCTCCTTCCTAATCACAAAGTCTTCTGAAAAAAGTGGCAAGTACTTTTGGTGTTTCCCAAGCGTGATGTGATGCACTGCCCAGGACCATCAGAAGGGAGAAATGATAATGATGGCCAAAGTGATGGCATCTCCCTTTACAATTCCCATCATACAGGGAGTTACAGAGCTTTTCAGAATGCCAGGTAGTAAGTAGGCTCAAGCTTTTACAATGATAAAATCATATATTTGGACAGATTTGCATTCTTATCAAGGAAAGGAACATGATTGATTTAGGCTTCTTGGCAGAAATAATTTAAGAAATTTAAAAACCACTGTGTGAAATAGGAAAGAAATGTTGATAATATGTATTTATAGTTACATAGCATTTTTGAGAATGTAACATGGGAGCTAAATTTTTTATGAATCTTTGTCACTTGGGCATTGATGAAATGTATAGATTGGGAAGGACCAGACCATGAAATTGACAGCATCTGCCTGACTATATCTGATAAATTCAATCCTGTCTTTTCACATTTTTCCCATTTAACCAGACTGTTCCCAAATGTCTTTCACCAATCTTTCATGGTAACCAAGGCAACACAGTAAGTGGGACCCATCTCTCCAGGGATTGCCTCAGTAAAATTTCGACTTCTGTTAGGATTTCTGTCTTAGCATTTTTTTATGGTTAGATTAAAAGTTTACTTTGGATTTTTTGCCTTTCGAAAGGAGTTTAAAGATTGTTTTAGAATTGTTTGATTTTTGTCAAAGCATTCTTTCCACAGGTTGATCATTATCTGACACTTTGGAAAGTTTAAGCAACTTTGGTATTGATTCTAATAGAAGGAAATAGAGACATGAATAAGAGAAAACTGCAGGTAGCCCACAGATTATTGCAGTTTGGTTTTGAATTGAAATTAGAGCATTTTCACTTAAAATGTTTTAAATAGAGGTCTGATTACCTACCAATGCTTAAATGTGTTTTTCCCACTATTGTATTTTCGGCCCCCCATTTTTGGATCTTTACTGCACTATATTCTCTACATATACTGCACTATATTCTTGTTACTGTTATATTTTTAGTCTATTGGTGGTAGTCAGCTGCTGTTTTGTGGGGAAAAGGAAAGAGTTTGGTTTATTGTCACCTGAGTTCTGAAGTACTGTTCTTGAGTGTGCTTTGCATTCAAGTATAAACAGTCCTCTGTACAAAAAACCTAGTTTGTACAGTTGTCATAGTATGACATTCTTGTGACAAGTTGGGAAGTAATGCCTTTGTCTGACCGTAGGATTATTGGAGATATTTTGGAAAACATCAATCACATACAAAAAAAGCAGAAATTAGCCATAGTCTTACCATCCAGAGATAATTGCTGTCAACATTTTGGTGTATTTGCTGCTCCTAACTTTTATTTACATTCACTAATACACACTTATTTCCTTGGAACTGATTTATTCACTACAATTTTATGGTTTTTTCTACATTTTAAATTATTCAATTGTATTTTACTTGTTGTACAATGTTTCCTAGAATGGATTTACTGTGACATATTTCATCAATCTCTCTGTGATGAAATGCATATACCAGAGAATGGTGTGGAGTAACATTTAGCTTTTGTTTTTTGTATATCAGAATGTTTATATTAAATATAAAAATAGATTTAAACAATCATTTAGCATTCATGTTGACATGATGTGCTCTTTGAATTCATATATGAAATGATTGTATGTCCTGTGTAGAGAGAGAATTTAAAGGGAGAACAATGGTGGCTAATTTGTTTGTTGTTACAGTTGGTTGTGGGGGAATTTCTATTGATTCATGTTCTTTGGGGAATTTGTGGATAACATATTAACTATATTATATATGAACTGATCTATTGGTCTCTTGAGGGATATAGCTGGGCAACTGTGATTTAGGTTATGATTTAAAGTGCAAGCATAAGTGAACCACAGGAAAGTGACAGATCAGACCCTTCTAGGCCTTGTGTGATTTCTTCATTAGCCACATTGTCAGATATGAGTGATAATGCCCTGACCCAATCTGGATGGCAACTCCAGCTCTCAGCTTTGGCCCGATTCAGTCCTGGCTATTTTGTGTGTTTGGGGAATGAGCTGGTAGATGGAAGCTTTCTCTGTGTCTGCCTGCCTCTCTCTCATGTGGTAAACATTGGCAATGATAGATTTCTTCTATGTGTAAGTATACTTTTTGTGGTAGGTCTTTTTTTCAGCCACAGAAACTATTAAAACTAAGAATTGTAAATTGAATTTAGAATCAGAACTTAAAATTGCTACATTAGTGTGTTAAACTAAGATTACAAACGATGAAGCATATTCAATCATGTAATTCCTCCTACAATAGTTACAGCATATATTTTAGGAAACAGGTTTTTTGATAACACTAAGGACTGACAAAAATTACTTCAGAATATTGTTTTCATGATGTTTGTTACATTTAAAAAATTCTATTTTGGAGCATGTTATGTGTGAGACATTTTCAGTTGCATATGAATTTAAAAATATATGGCAGATACTACACATTTTTAATGAGCTGACAATAGATTTGGGATAATTTTCATGCATAAAATGGAAATTAAAGTGGGAAATAAATGGGTAAAGACTGCCAAAGAAATTACAACTTATAACTAAATGCAGGAACTAGTACTCCTAAGAAGATATTCTCCTACGCAGTGTATGTTTTTCTTTCTTTAAGA